CTGAAACCTTAACCCTAATTTTGACCCCATCCCCAAATCGGGTTAATCCCAAAAGAAAGAAGGGGAAAGGGAGAAGAGGAAGAGCCGTTTTGGTTTACCTCACTGCTGAGCAGTGCTGCTGCCTCGCCGGCGCACGAGGAGAAGAAAGGGCCGAGCCGGGGAGCTGCTCGCCAGGCTCGGCCAAGGGGGCGCCGCGGCCAGGCCACTCGACGGCGGCGCACTCACCCGCTGGGGAGCGCGCATGCCGGCCAGGGGGCGGGCGACGACGCCATGGCTGCCCGCTCCACTGCTTCACTCGCTCGGTGCGCTCGCTGCGGCTAAGAGAGTGAGAGAGAGAAGGAGAGGCGTGAATGAGGGTTAGGGTTCGGGAGGAGGCCGGCGCCGAGTGGTTTTATTCGCCCGATCTCGCAGCTCGAGCGTCCGATTGAATCCAACGGCGACGGATGCACGGGCCGCATCGCGCCCCAGGCCCACGTTGCGGCCTGGGTGACAGCTCGCACGTGCGGAGGCAATGGGGGCGAGCGGGCCTTTTGCTGGTTTTGGGCCGAGAGAGGCAGAATGAGCCTGCATTTTTCTTTTTCTTTTTCCTGGAAAATTGAGAAATGCAAATTGGCTCAAAAGAAAAATAGAAAAATGGTATTTTTCCTGTTGGTAAAATTCAATAAATTGAGTATACGTTTTCCGCTGCTAAAGAAATTGTTTATTCTCCAGTTATTTTGAACCAACGTGATATTTAATTGGAGAAAAAGAGAGTTTTTCCGCTGCTAAAGAAATTGTTTATTCTCTAGTTATTTTGAACCAAAGTGATATTTAATTGGAGAAAAAGAGACTTCGACATGATTATGATGTTATTTTCTGACCAACGTTGTTAATAACAATATCGTAATTTTAATGATTTTATGCATTAATTCTATTTCTGCCCAACGGTGATGTAGAGTTAGTGTATAAAAATAGTTGTATAATTGGAGAAAAAGAGATTTTAACATGATTATGATGTTATTTTCTGACCAACGTTGTTAATAACAATATCATAAAAGTTAATGATTTATGCATTATTTCTATTTCTGCCCAACGGTGATGTAGATTTAATGTATAAGAACAGTTGTATGTTTTGATTTTGACCAACGTTGGAATCAAGGCATGCAATTGTTTTTATTTTTTATGTTAAGAAAAAGATTGACCTGACCTTCATCTTGGCTGAGGAGGACTGGGTAGTCACCTCACCTTGTCTCACTGATCCTGTGGCACCGGTGAGGGAGACAAACGAGGCTGATGCCGCTTAAGCAACTAAAGAGAGGGATTTTGAATCCCAAAAGATGTCATATGACCTTGAGCATAGGAAGTGGGTCACTGCCAACAAAAAATGTTTGACTGTGATAAAGAACATGATTGAGCCTGCAATTGTGGGCTCAATCCCAAAGTATGACACGATCATTGAGTACCTCGATAGAATAAAGAGTCAGTTTACTGCCTCTTCAAAGACATATGCTACCCAGCTGATAAAGCAGCTGGTGACAGAGAGTTACTTTGAAAATGGTGGCATAAGAGAGCTCATGATGCGTCGTCGAAATTATGGCACTAGCGTTTATGCCATATTTTCGAGGGGAAGAATAAAAAGACTAGTTAAGAATAATATTCTTCCTCCATTAGAGCTCTTAGATTTAGAACAATGCAGAGAATGCATAAAAGAAAAGTATGTAAAGAAAATTAAGAAAGATGACAAATGAAGCGCAGGAATTTAACAGATTATTCACACAGACATATGTGGTCAGTTTTCTGTAAAGAGTATGGATGGTAATGATTCATTCATAACATTCACAGATGATCACTCCCGTTATGTCTATATTTATTCAATCAAAGAAAGAAAAGAAGCATTGGATAAATATAGATATTTAAGGCAAAAGTTGAAAACCAACGCAATTTAAAGATTAAGATAGTCCGGTCCGACCATGGGAGGGAGTACTACGGTCGGTATACCCCATATGACTAAGTTCCTTGACCTTTTGCAAGGTTCTTACAGGAGAATGGCATAGTAGCCTAATATTCTACACCGGGCGAACCTCAGCAGAATGGAGTAGCTGAAAGACGCAATCGTACCCTGATGGATATGGTGCGCAGTATGATAAGTTACTCCACCTTACAGTTGAGCCTGTGGATGGAGACGTTAAAAACCGCCATTCATATTCTCAATAGAGTACCAAGTAAGTCGGTGCCTAAAACACCGTATGAGTTGTGGACAGGAAGAGTACCCTCACTAAACCACTTACGTGTGTGGGGGAGTCTTGCTGAGGCTAAAGTATTTAACCTAAACATTAGGAAATGAGATCCCAAAATAGTAAGTTGCCATTTCATTGGCTACCCAGAAAAGTCAAAAGGTTTTCGTTTCTACTCTAGACAGACATACAAAGTTTGTAGAAACGAGACGATGTCTTTCTAGAGGATGAAATGATGAGGGGGAGCATGATAGCTCGAGAAATTGACCTTGAAGAGAAGCGGGTGTATGCGCCCACTCCGATGATTCATGAGCCATTTTTCTCACTACATGTTGTCGCTGCACCGACAGTGCAAGATATTGTGGTGCCAGCACCTGTTATTATTCCGCCTATGGCAACAATGAATGACGATGAGGAACATGTTCTTTAGGATCCTGTAGAACCTATTGCCACATATGAGGGGGAGCAACAACAGCCTCAAACAGAAGATGTGTCAAATGTGGAAGCCCCTAAAAGGTCTCAAAGAGTTGGAAAATCAGTTATTCCTGCTGACTATGAAGTATACAACACTAAGGAATTTCAAATGGAGGATGATCCCACTTCATTTGAAGAAACCATGAGAAGTGATCATTCATCAAAGTGGCTTAAGGCCATGGAAGATGAAATGAAAATCTATGAATGCTAATAAAGTTTAGGATTTGGAAATAATTCCTAAAGGAGCCAAAACAGTAGGTTGAAAATGGGTCTACAAAATAAAACTTGACTCTCAAGGGAATATAGAGAGATGACTTGTGGCAAAAGGCTTTACGCAAAGAGAAGGGATTGATTACAATGAGACATTTTCTCCAGTCTCATGTAAGGATTCCTTTAGTATCATAATGGCATTAGTGGCACATTACGTTTAGAATTACATCAGATGGATGTAAAGACGACATTTCTCAACGGAGACTTGGAGAAAAATGTTTATATAGCACAATCGAAAGGTTTTGTTATGGAGGGAAAAGAACGAATGGGATGTCGCCTAAAGAAATCCATTTATGGATTAAAACAAGTTTCAAGACAATGGTACTTGAAGTTTGATCAGACAATAAGGAATTTTGGGTTTAAAGAGAATGTAGAGGACAATTGTGTCTATACAAAGTTTAAGAATGGGAAGTTTGACTTCCTTATCCTGTATGTGGATGATATCTTACTTGCTAGTAGTGATAGTCTACTACTGGAGACAAAGAAGTTTTGTCCTCAAAATTTGATATGAAAGATCTTGGTGAAGCTTCGTTCGTTCTAGAGATCGAGATTCACCGAGATAGAAGTAAAGGGGTATTAGGACTGTCACAAAAGACATACATAGAAAGAATCTTAAAGAAATTTAGTATGCACAAATGTAGTCCCTCACCTGCTCCTATAGTCAAGGGCGACAGATATGGGGATTTTCAATGCCCCAGGAACCAGTATGAGATCGATCGAATGATAACGGTTTCATATGCTTCAGCTGTCGGAAGCTTGCAATATGCTCAAGTATGTACGCGTCCTGACTTGGCATTTGTTACCGAGTTACTTGGCAGATTTCAGAGCAATCCTGGAACAGAACACTGGAAAATGGTAAAGAAAGTCTTGCGTTATTTGCAAGGAACGAAAGACCTCATGATGACGTATAGAAGATCTGATTCACTCCATATAGTGGGATATTCAGATTCTGATTATGCGGGAGATGATAGAAAATCCACATCTGGATATGTATTCACTCTCGCAAGGGGAGCTATTTCATGAAAAAGCTCAAAGCAAACCGTCACTACATCGTCCACAATGTATGACGGTTTGTAGCGTATTATGAGGCAACGGGGCAAGTGAACTGGCTAAAGAAGTTCATACCCGGGTTTTGAAGGTAGTTGACGACATCTATAGACCACTTAAGTTATACTGCGATAATAATCCGATAGTACAGTATGCTCACAACAATAAGTCAAGTGGTGCTGCCAAACACATTGACATAAAGTATATTGTTGTGAAAGATAAAGTCCAGGATCATGTCATAAGTCTTGAGCATATAAGTATTGAAAAGATGCTCGCGGATCCGCTTAAAAAAAGCTTACCACCCAACGTGTTCAGAGAATATGTAGCTAGCATGGGTTTAAGAGAAAGTCTAAAATTCCTAGACAAAAGAATGCTCAAAGTTAAGTATTTATTTCAGAACAGAGTGGTGTGTTGTAGCTGTTAAATCTATCGGCAATTGACCGTGACGATGAAACATGCTCTATGCGCTAATTTATAATGGAATGAACAAAAGTAAATGATATGAAATTAAAAGATGGTATTGAGATCAAGGGGGAAAATGTTAGTTGATCTCCACGGCCTATTGGGCTCTTGGATCTGCGTCCTGATCGGGGGCGTCCAACCCTAATATGGTTGGTGGGCCCCTGTCGCACAGCACTATAAAGAGAGGTGTGGGGACCAGGGCTCTGACTACGAGGTTGACCGGAGCCGCTATAACCACCCGCAGAGAAACCTAATCCGATCTAAAGTGAGTGCTGCCAACGACGGGAAGCTCCACCGACTCCGCCATCACCTCTGCATCGCCCCTGCAGTGTCACCACCGGGCCTCTGGACCTCGCCTCGTCTCCACCGCGCCGAGCTCCTTCGACACCGGCGTCCACGAGGCTGCGGCGCAACTGCGCCAGGGCAATCTAGAGGAACTCTAAGTAAGATGCTTACCCCGATCTACGGTTTAAGAGGCACTGTTGTGCTCTAACAAACTTGTCACAGAAAGTAAATAAACAGATGAAAGGAAATTCAGTTCTCAATTACTGCCTCAAAAACTCCACGCTTCCTATCGGTTGTGCTTTGGACAAACTGATCCCTTATATGAAATGATTTCTTGGCAAGACCAGTTCTTGAGAGATGAGGAGTTTCTGCACCTTTAGCAGTTGACCTTACCATCCGAAATTTAATGGCATTGAACAGAATGAATATTAAAGAAAGAAAGAATCTCAATGGCCATAGTATCCAAGAAACTGCATATCTGATATGTCTCCTCAGTCGACGATCACGTCTACCAAAGCTGCTTGCGTGCGATAACCGTGAACTTTGGGACATTGGAGATGCAGGGCAGACAAACTCTTCATGATCATCATCCCCAGTGACAGAGTCAGCAATTGATTCAGCATCCGAATCAACAGAAAGTTCATGGATGAACTCATTAAACGAAGATACCCCACTAAGTTCAAAAGAAGGAATGAAGTTGTCAGAACAGAGTAAAACTATGTTACTTAAGAAAACAAAGCATATACTAGTTAGGTTATCCAGAACTAACTAATAATAATAATAAAAGGAAACATAAATATACAGGGCGATGGGATATTTCACCAGGCTAAAATATTTCACGTAAATTCAGATGAAAATGGAAACAAACTGGACCATATCATTTACCATGTACTCAATATTGATATAGAGTCTATCCAAATTTCTGCATCAACCAACAATAGTTCTCAATGGGAGGAAGTAGCTCGTATATAATATGCTACGAAGTAACAGACCATGTGGATTCAAATGCTTATAAAGAAATTATGCTTAGGGAATCAATACTCGCTATTTATCTGCTTGGTTTTAAGTATTGAATGTTCCTCAATGCTACAAACACATCACATCCATAAATTTTTACCTTAATGGAAGTCATGAGAAGAAAGTTACACTACCTTTCCATCCAACGAGGAAGACGCGGCCCACGGAGTGCTGGCCTAAGTTCCCAGCCACTTATGCCTTCTAAAATGTTGCCTTTTCCAGGTAATAGTGTCAATAAGAGCGCTGACATTCCATTTATGAACCTTGCAATGTTGTTCAGTGACTCATATGTGAATGTCTTCACAGATCTGCCAATAAAAGTGCCAGAAGTCAATTAGCAATATGTACAGAAGGTCTAAGACAAGATCAACTAACTTGTATTTTTCTGTTTCTGGTCTAAAAAGAATTACATATAAAATCAAGAATGTCTAAAGTTAATGTTTCAGTCTCCCATGGAGCACGTGTTAAATGCAAATCAGTGATTTAAAGTAGAACTCTGCAGCAGGGCTAAAACAAGATGAACTAGCAGCGATGTACAGAACTATACATGGAACCAAGGATTTCAAAAGCCTCATGCTCCAATGGAACACATGCATCAAATGAATGGAAATGAAAGTTCCTCCACGATTCCACAACAACAAAATTCTGGGTTACAAGCATTGTGTACACAGAAGGTAAAATAAGTATTTGGTTGTCAAAGTCAGATGTTACGGTCACAAGCCCATAAAATGCCAAAGATAATCCCATCTGACAGTTTATTAACATCTTTGAAAAGGATATTCTAAGCCAATGTAATTAGGGATTCACTTTTGTAAATATCAAATAAGCTAATCATTCAATAACCTGCCTGGTATCTTGTACAAAGGTTCAATTATTCACCCTAGAACCAAGTACTGCAAATCCAGTGTTCTATACATCAGATGGGATTGTTTCCATGATAGCAGTTACCATTAACATGTTTCAGAACCACAAATGAATTCATTAGTAGAGGCCAAATAAGTTCACGAACTGTTTACTGTTTGCCCAAATAAATTTTTGCTCTCATGAAGCAGCAAACAAAGCATTAGTTCATAAGAAATCGTGTGTCTAATTTTGTGAAATATTCTATAAAATCTGCAATTCCTTACAATCCATTTGTCCAAATCAAATTCTCAGGCTACAAGAATCTTTCAAACTATGCTTTTTGCTCATCAAACTAAATCTTTCTTAGCATGGCCACTCCTCTAATCGCAAAAATCACTAACAATACATATATAGTACATAATAGTTACTGCAACCATTTGAAATAGGATTTATTAGAAGAACAATAACATAGAGCTTATTTTTTCTAACTGTTCTATTCAACCTGTAATGACATACGGGGTAAAAAAAACAGCACTGTATCTTCATTATTTGTTATTTGTCAGTTAATACAGCTCCGTATCTTCATGGTTTGTTATTTCTCAGTTAATACAGCTCTATATCTTCATTGTTTTTTATTTGTCAGTTAATACAGCACTGGCACAATACATACCTTTCAAAATTCCTAACCAATGATATACAGGGAGAAATAGAATAAAAAATAATATAGAATTACCCTAAATAAGCAATACTAATACTGTTTGCTTGTAAAAAATCTAAATACTCAAGTTCAATCATATGTGAACTAACTCATGCTAAGTTGCTCTACGGAGGGTTGTGCACTTCCACGTTACCGGTTGCCCATCACAGGCAAGTGCACTCCAATAGCAAAGGGAGTGTTCATGCTGATCATTTCGAGCTAGCCTCTGCCTCCTCGGATTGAATAAGGGTACCCTTGTGCATGTTACTGCACAAATGAATCTACTATCGTAGTGTCGGAAAGTAAAAACAATTTTCCTGCACTCTAGTGCCCGGTATTTATAGTTCGATTGCACAATGTCATGGCTTTGAAACGAAAAAAAAGGAAACATTGGAAGTGAGAACCGGACCAGGATCGGATGCAGTAGCTACTACTACTGCAACTTAAGCAGTAGCAGCATCTCAGCCGTTCAAGATACCAGCAATGGCTAAGATCAGAGCTACTTTCTTTCCCATTCTTTCTCCCTCATGTGCTCTCGGTCTCTGTTTTTTTAGAGAAGAAAAGGTAACGAGCAGGGAAGAGTTGGCCCCATTTTTGGCTTTCACCGCGAGAGAGGCTGACACGGCAAGCTGCTCTAAGAGACGTGCGGATGGAATTTTCTTAATACACTTGTTTGTTAAGTACAAAAATAATACAAAGTTGTCTAATGATAGATCAACTTTTAAATTTCATTCCACCAGAAAACAACTTTAGATAGAAATCGTACGACGAAAAGGCAATTATATTTTTCATAAACAAAAAATGATTTCCTATAAAATACTCCCTCTGTTCCTAAATAACTATCGTTTTCGCTTCTCGAGAAATTACTTTGACTAAATATATATAAAAAAATATTAATATTTATGATACAAAATTAATATCATTAGATTGATCCTTGAATCTATTTTTATAATAAATTTATTTGGAGATATAAATGTTAGCACGTAGTATTTTCTATAAATCCAGTCAAACATACGGCACAGAAAACCAAAAGCTACAGTTATTTAGGGACGGATAGAGTATTTGTTCTAGTAGAACGATATCTTCACCCTTTGAGCAAGTATAATAAGGGGTTGTAATAGGCAGTATGCTGACGTGGAGGAGAGAGGAGAGGAGAGAGAAAAGAAGCGGGCTATAAGCTTACAGCCAGCTTATGCACAAGAACCAAGAAATTCTATGAGACAGATAAGTGGGTTGTAAGCCGGCTAACTATGATACAAGTGGGCTGATAGATTGCAAGTTTCGATATAACCAACAGCCGGCTGTATTATTAGTTTTGCTCTTACGTTGTTTCTTGATTTCTATTTTACCAATCCGAAACAAAAATCTAGGAATCTCAAAAAAAAAAGCTTGCAATTTCCCAAAAAGATATTAAAATTCTAGACACGTTTGGTTCTATCTGGCATCAGATTTTGCAGTTTAAAAGTAAAATTCTTCTTGTAATGCTATATTTGAGTTTTCGGTTAATCTGTTTAGCCACGAAATGTTTAAAAAACTGAATTTATTGTCCAAAAAGTAATATTTTCTATGTAATAATTTCTCAACATATATGCTCAAGTGAAAATAAATTGTTTTTCCCACATGAAACAATAAATTGTTTTTCCATAAGTGAAAATAATTTTTTCAGTTAAACTCTTCGCTCCCAAAAGAATCCCGTTGGGGTGTAACCCTCTTAGCGACGCGCCATGTCGGAACCCGGGTATGGTGTTAAATAACCAAGGGCCAGGTCGTCACCCCCGTGACGCGTCGTGTCGTGATCTAGGCATGGTGTCAAGTGAGTAAGGATCGGGTCGTCGCATCCTCAGTGGCGCGCCACATCGGCGCCCGGGTGTGGTGCAAAATGTGCAAGGGTCTTCACACCAGTCTCGACGGGTGCGAAGGGTAAGGAAGCTAGTCGAGCCAACTAGGATTCGTTTAGGTAGCTGGAACGTAGGGTCCCTTATGGCTAAGTTAAGAGAGTTAGTCGATACAGCGGTAAGGAGGCGGGTAAATATCTTGTGCATCGAAGAGACTAAATAGAAGGGACAGAAGACGAAAGACGAAGGAGGTGGGTAAATATAAATGGAGTAGAAGTTTTGATTGATAAGAGCCTTAAGGATGGAGTGGTGGAGGTGAAAAGGCAAGGGGATAGGATCATATTAGTCAAACTTGTCGTTAGTGATATGGTCTTAAACGTAATTAGTGCGTATGCCCCCCAAGTAGGCCATGATGAGAGTGCTAAGAGGCAATTCTGAGAAGACTTGGATGGCTTGGTTAGAGCAGTACCTAGTAGCGAGAAGCTCTTCATAGGAGGGGACCTTAATGGCCATATAGGTTCAACTAGTGCAGGTTTTGAGGTGGCTCATGGAGGTTTTCGGTTATGGTAGTAGGAACCAGGAGGGAGAGGATGTCCTAGACTTTGCTACGGCTTTTGATCTGATGATAGCCAACACTTTCTTTAGGAAGAGAGAGTCTCATTTGGTGACCTAAAGGAGCGGACATTCCTCTAGTTAGATCGACTTTGTTCTTACAAGAAGGGGGGATAAACGTGCTTGTGTGGATTGTAAGGTGATACCTGGTGAATGTGTGGTTTCCCAGCACAAGCTAGTGGTGGCCGACTTCTGCTTTCTGGTACGAGCTCGTACGGTTAAAGAAGCCAAGATTGCAAGAACAAAGTAGTGGAAATTAGAAGGGGAGGTATCAAAGGTCTTCAAGGAAAGAGTTATTGAAGAGGGCCCTTGAAAGGACGAAGGCGATACAAACAACATGTGGGAGAAGATGGCAACATGCATTCAGAAGGTTGCGGCAGAGGTACTTGGAGTGACCAAAGGAAGTGGATGTGACTTGAAAGACGCTTGGTGGTGGAATGAAGATGTGCAAAAGGCTATCAAGGAAAAGAAGGAATGCTACAAGCGCTTGTAGCAGGACCGGTGTGCAGACAACACAAAGAAGTACAAGGTGGCAAAGAAGACCGCAAAACGAGCGGTGGGAGAGGCGAAGGGGCGGGCTTACGAGGGTCTTTACCAAAGTATCAATACGAAGAAAGGAGAGAAGGACATCTATAGGATGGCTAGGGCTCGTGATAGAAAGACAAGGGACCTCAACCAAGTCAAGTGCATTAAGGATGAGAGGGAGCAGCTCTTGGTGAAGGAGGATGAGATTAGACATAGATGGCAAGAGTATTTTGATAAACTGTTCAATGGGGAGAATGAGAACACCGTTCGGTTGGACGACTCGTTTGATGACATCAATAGGCGCTTTGTGCGTAGGATCCAAGTGCAGGAGGTTCGAGAAGCTCTAAAAAGGATGAAAGTGGGTAAAGCGATGGGCCCGGATGATATTCCGATCAAGGTGTGGAGGTGTCTCGGGGATTTATCTATAGTATGGCTGACGAAGATGTTCAACAATATCTATCGATCGAACAAGATGCCTAAGGAGTGGAGAAGAGCATATTGGTACCAATCTACAAGAACAAGGGAGACATCCAAAGTTGCACTAATTATAGGGGAATTAAGTTGATGAGGCACACGATGAAGCTATGGGGGAGAGTTATCGAGCATTGACTGCGAGGAATGACACGAGTATCTACAAACCAATTCAGTTTCATGCCTAGAAGGTCAATCATAGAAGCAATTTTCTTAATAAGACAAGTTATGGAGCGGTTCGGGGAGCAGAAGGACCTACACATGGTTTTCATCGACTTGGAGAAGGCTTATGACAAGATACCAAGGAATATTATATGGTGGGTGTTAGACAAACATAAAGTCCCAACAAAGTATGTTACCCTCATCAAGGACATGTACAACAATGCCATGACTAGTGTACAAACAAATGATGGCAACACAAATTACTTCCCGATTAAAATAGGATTTCATCAAGGGTCAGCCTTGAGCCTGTATCTCTTTGCCGTAGTAATGGATGAAGTGACTAGGGACATTCAAGGGGATATCCCTTAGTGTATGCTATTTGCGGACGATATAGTGCTAGTTGATGAAAGCCAGACAGGAGTAAATAGGAAACTGGAGTTATGGCGGCAGAACCTTGAGTCCAAAGGTTTTAGAGTAAGTTGAACTAAAATAGAATACATGAGATGCGACTTTGGCAAAGCTACACATGAGGGAGACGTGGGTTTGGAAGGTCAAGTGGTGCCTAGGAAAGATACCTTCCGTTATCTAGGATCAATGCTGCA